ACTAATCGATTCTTGGGATTTAAGAATCGATATCGTTCCGTAAAAATGAGAATCGATTAAAATCGAGATATCTATATTTTTTACCCAGCCCTAGTGTGAAGTGTCACTCACGGCACTGTCGTGTCGTATATCCGCAGGTGCTAGATGTTCCTCTCACGGTTAAGATCCGTACCGGAGTCCAGCAGAACTGCAGCATCGCACACAAGCTGATCACAGAGATGAAGAAGTGGGGCGTCTCGCTCATCACGGTACGATGAGTTCAGTCCAGTCAACGAGCAGCTCGTACAAACGTGACACCGGGGTTCTGTAGGTTTGATGGAGATAAATTGACTAGTCAGTAAAGAAGATTTAAGGAATAAATTGAAGGGAACACAATATGTCAATACATTCTCTAAATTTACACGTCTAGACCAGGGGTCTCCAACCTTTTTTACACCGCGGGCCGGTGACGTTTTGAAAATATTCTCACGGACCGGCTTTATAAATAAATAAATTTATAATTTATATAAGTGATATATATATATATTATATATATAGTGGTTCAATGGATCATATTGTGGTTTTTGAGTCACAGATTGGATGATTTTTCGGATAAGCAAAAAAAATATTTAAAGCACAGAGAATGAGAATGCTGTGAAGGCATAACTTTGACATAACTTTGTGTATGTATCTTAAATGCAGGGAGACGTGAAAGAGGAATCATTCGTGCGCTGTCTGAAACACGTCTCTATGCTTGTGCATGCTTAAAATTGCTTGAAGGTGTAAACTGGCAAATTAATCTGTGAATCAGATGAGTGCCGAACGCTGGGGTCTGGTCTGTACGGATCCCGTTTAACCCCTAATATATGACAGATCCGAGCAATCTTTCATTTACTAATTTAACACGAAATTGTCAAATTGCTACTCCATATCAATCGCATAGAACGGAAATGCATAATAAATAGAACAATCATTAATGCACAATAAATAACAAGTGTGTCATATCTGTACACATTTTTCTCAGAACGGTACTGGGTCGCGACCCGGTGGTCTAGACAAACAGTATGAGTTTTATTAGCAACACTTTAAAATCATAACCTTCTACAGATCTCTATACTTCTTCATTTTACATAAAAGTATCTTTACACAGAATATGGAAATAACTGTTAATGAAGCTTCTGATCACACTGCAAAAAACTGTTCATCAGTATTTTTGATTTGTTTTACAGGGCAAATGTCTAACGATTCTTATATCAATTAGATTAGGTAAGAAGTCCTGTTTTATGAGAAACTAAACAAAATGAAGTAAGTTTATGATTAAAACAGTAACTTAATTGAAAGAGAAAACAAGTTTTCATTGTCAGATGTTTGTTCTTGTTTTAAGCATAAACACACTTAGTTTTGTTCAATTCCTCAGACTTAATTTCTTCATTCTGCATCTCCAGTAAATGCCTTGATTTAAGGCTGTTCAGATATTTGCACTGGAAAACAAATATACATTTGGAGAATTTTCATGTTTTGCAGTGAGTGCAGCATTAAGAGCCCTGACTCTGACAGTGATGTGCGTCACACACGCTCTGGATCTGCGGCGTCTCACCTGTGGCAGCATCGTGAAGGCCGTGTAAACACACGCTCATCTGAGTGAAGACTGCGTTAGCACTGCTCTGACACATGGCATCTGAACACACACCTGCGGCAGAAGACAGCACTCATCAGTCACACACACACACACACACACTCGCAAACGCACTCGCACGCACACACTCACTGGGCAGGGCTAGCAGAGCCACGTAAGACTTCAGCTTCTGGAAGACGGCGGTCAGTTTCTTCATGTCCTTCTGTAATTGCCGGTTCTTGGACGCCAGCGCTGCCGTGCAGAGAGACGCCTCGCAGTCCTCCTCTAGACTGCACAACACACACACAAGCTCAGATTCATGACTGACATCTCTGAGACAAGAAAGCACATTGCCCTGCACTAATCAAAAAACTGCACTGCATTAACAGAGCTTGCATTTTAACACATTGTATTGTCAAGACTTGCATTTTCAGTGCGGAAATTCAACATGATTTTATATTTCAGCTGTGAACATTTCAATTGGAAATTGTAAGCTCTGAAAATACATTCAAATGCAAGCACTGTTAATTAAATCTTTTTTTTTTTTGCTCATTTAGTGCAATTCCACATTTTTGTTTCATTCATTTAAAGGCACAATATGTAAGATTTTCGTAAGAAAATATCCCAAAACCACTTGCACAGTATATTTCATGCAGTTGTGTAGCTACATTATCCCAAAAGTTCCCAAGGATTTGTAAATCCATAGAAATTCCCATTTTAAATAATGGCTCATCCCTGGTCAATGACGTAATATCCACGCTATCCTCAGTTTCCGCTTGTAGAAACTGTGGTAACTCACACACACAAATGCTGCTGTTCAGTTAAACTAAATCCATTATGGATGTTGCGAATAAAATGAAAATGAAATGAAAAGTGTTGACTGCACCATTAAATTTAGATCTGCTCAATGTTGTGCCATGTTTTTTTATGCATTTTTACAGTGTTGCACATTATAACCTATCCCACATGAGTCTGTTGAGCTTATGAAGTTTTTGTTCAGTGACTGAATTCAGCTCTCACATGAATTCTCTCATCATAAACAACAAGTGCAGATGTACGTATTGTAGGGCCTCTGTGAACAGACCACCAAATGAGCTATTGAACAAACACATTCCAACGCAGGATCTGGAGATTCCCCACATGGCCATCAAAAGGTTGTAAAATGAATCAACGGCCAGCTTGCCGCTCCGGAGGGCGTTCTGGACACCAGCGTGGTGAATGAGACAAACACACATTCATCCGGTGAATCAGCGGGTCTTTTGCAAAAAGACAAAATCCTTGCTGAAAACTGGTGCTAAATCTTCTTAAGCAGCTGAAAGCCAAATCTCTGCTTCTGCGATTTTCTCAGGTTTTAATTTAAGAACTAGTAGCAAATACTAGTCTTTTGGGACTCCATTCAAACCGTAATTCTCATTCCCTGAACTGTGTGTGTGTGTGTGTGTGTGTGTGTGTGTGTGTGTGTGTGTGTTTAGTAAAGACAAAATCCTTGCTGAAAACTGGTGCTAAATCTTCTTAAGCAGCTGAAAGCCAAATCTCTGCTTCTGCGATTTTCTCAGGTTTTAATTTAAGAACTAGTTGCAAATACTAGTCTTTTGGGACTCCATTCAAACCGTAATTCTCATTCCCTGAACTGTGTGTGTGTTTAGTAGTGTAGTTTCATGTATAGTAGAGTAGATCAATACATTCTTGTTGCTTGCAAAGAAAGGCGTCTCATGTGTTCTGATCATTAGCTACTGTCTCATGCCCAGATCTTGTTTACCTAGCTCACAGTTAATGAAATGATCACTAGCATGTATTATGACCTTTGGCCGAGGGAATAATATAAACATCAGAATTGGTATATACTAACTTTTAACTTTACGCTGGACGAATAGTTGATAAAGTGTAAAATATTAACTCTGAATCAGTTTTAATCAAGTTGATTCCAAATCTTTGGATTCGACTCCCATTGAACTTGCCCTAATTCCTTACAGTATGATGTAAGAGACTGATTCATCAAACCGTGTAAAGACAGCTTCACTGCTTATAAGGGGAGAGTTTTGAGAGTGCTTAAACTCGCGCTAGACTTAAGTCAGTCATAATGTTCTTTGCTTGCTTTCTCTGTATATTTGTTTCGCTGTTTGAATAACTGTGGAAGGTAGAGGCAATTAAAAAAATAATAAAAAAATGAATTCATTATCTCATCCGTGAACATCCTCCTTCACAGCGTCATTAAGTTTCGCCTTTGTTATTGTTTTGAAAATGTGACCTCTAGCCGCAAAAACTTACATATTCTGCCTTTAATGTAAAAAAAACAAGCAGCAGCCAACAAGCAGCAAGATATTTTGCGTCAGTCAGTTTCTGAATATTCTAAACATATTATATATTAAGGCTGGACAATATGACCTAAAATCAAAATCTCGATTAACTGAACATTATACCTCAATTACGATTAATGTACAATTATTTTATTATTTTATTTATTTATTTGCCCTCATAGTTCACTGACAAGGTTAGTACTATAAATATGCTCAACTATTAAAGGTGGGATATTTTTTCTAACGAAAGTTTGTGATTTTATAATAAAGGAAACAAACTATATATGGCATATTTCAAACAATTAAAATCAAAACACAAATTTCTTGAAATGAAAATGTATTCTGAAAAAAGTCAGATTTCAGTTTTACTGTAAAAAGCATATTTTCACGCTGCTCCGGTCGCTCAGATGAATCAGTGTTCTGTTACTGGACGGAGTCACAATACTACACACACGGGAGCTAGTTTTTAAGAGAAACTCAGGGCTGCCAGTTCAGCGTTGTTTTTTAATGAATAAAGCGATCGCCCTTAATGTGATTTTGGCAGAGGGGACACCCAACGAAGGGGAAAACTCTGTGAAAAAACGCGATTGGGCTAATTTTGAATAGCAATCGGCCTTGTTTTGTTTGGCGGACCTGGCACCCCTGGGGAAAGTATTAAAAGGATTTAAAAAAAACAAAATAACTGACGTGGGAAAATTACGGTTTGAGGTTGTGAATTCCGGCTTTCCCAGCCCTATTTTATATATATATATATATATATATATATATATATATAT